TGGCTGAAATCTAAAGTAAAGATTAAAAAATCAATCTAGGGGCTGAAGAAATGGCTCAGCTATTGGGAGTACACACTGTTCTTGCCAGCACCCACATGAAGTGGCTTACAACAGCCTGAACTCTACCTCCAGGCCATCTGAGGCCCCCATCGAGCCTCCCCAGGCACCTGCACGCCTGCACAGAAACTCACACATGAACACATACATCTATACCTAATGAAACATAATCAAAATCAACCTTTACAAACCCAAACTAAGACAAGCAGTGGTCATATAATCCTTTAATCACAGGTGGATCTCTGTTATTTCAAGACCACCCTGATCCACCCGAAATCCTGTCTCCAAAATGGAAAAATCTGTATTTGTATTACTATATACATTTCCATAATATTCAAAATATGTGTTTTAGGCTTTTTTCCAACCTAAAAAGGAGGTCTGTATTAATACGGGTAAGCAACAAACTCATTGAGATGATAGGAGCAAGGTTGGGGGGAGCAGTCGTGGGACTGTGAATGATAGCCACTCTCGCTTACACAGCCCAGGCAGATAGAGCAGACAGACAATTCTGTCTTTTATGTGCATTTTAAGCTAATTCAGAAAATTTCTACTATTATTCAAGTTAACAAGCTGCAGGCTCATGGGAGGGTTTTCAAAGAGCGGGTGAAAGTAGCTGGGGGTTAAGAAATGACGGGGAAATAGAGGCTACCATACAGATGGCTAATTAACAACTTGTAAGACCTTTCACTAAAGCAGCTGGTCCAGTCACATGTTTAAAAGATTCACAGAATTTTTAGAATTGAAAGGGTTTTGAGGGAGCATCTAGCTCAACCCCTCATTTTATGGATGGGAAAACTGAGACCCAGTTAATTGCCCCAGGTCACAGAGGGTCCTGCTGAAGAATCAGGCCGACAATTTGTTGTGTTCTGTCTCCCAACCGAAGTGGCTTAATTTCCTCCTAAAATGACAAATTAAAAGAGTGTTCCCAATAATTTAGTATCAGGTACCACCTTTGGTTCCACACGCTGTCTTTCAGTGTGCACAATATCTAGTGAACAGTGTGATCACGGAGTTGCTGGGCAGCAGTGTTTCCTCATGGTTATTGCATCATTTGTATTATGTAATCCAGAAATGTACTTAACGCAGCAGCTTTGATCACCTCAATAACCTATGTTTCTTTTCAAAACAATGAGCCTCACAAAGTGCCAGACATTTGGGGGACAGGCCTTTATGTTGGAGTCCCCAAACATGGATTATGCCTCACTTCTACTATTTCTATTCCCTTTGGCAAGCAATTCTTCCCAACACCCACTGAACTGACTTATTAGCATATTCATGAGACAACTGCTTCAGCTAATTAGCTGGTTTACTACTAAAAAAATCCCAAGACTGGCCAAGAGGGGGAGCAGCTAGCTGTGCTACTCTAATGCCCTGGCTGGAGGACCATTTTAAGATCAAGAGTTGACAAAAAAGCTTGCAGGACAGACAAGTACAGAAGGCAGTCCTCACACCCAGAGACACACATTTAAAGCATAGGAGGCCTGGCAACATGGCGCAATGGGTATAAGCTGAGTCTGTTCCCCCAAATCCACAGTGGAAACACAGAACTCATTTCTGAAAGTTGTTGCCTGACTCTGACACACATCCCATGGCATGGACACACCAGGTGTACACACACATATTAATAATAATAATAATAATAATAATAATAATAATAATAATAATAATAAGTAGTAGTAGCAGTAGCAGCAGCAGCAGCAGTAGTAGTAATACAATTTTAATATTTTAAAAATAAACACCAGAAACTGGTTGTAATACTACATGGAGATAATGCCAAATGAGGTCTTTTCTCATATTTATCCAGGTCTGAAAACATACACACATGGCTTAAAATGTACAAATCAAGTTATAAACTATATATTCACTTGAAATACACAAACAGTAGAAAATGGAACGTACAGAAGCAAAGCAAACAAACACACCTCCCCCCAAAATCCTTAGAGACAAAGGAATGGGGAAAAGGATTTGTCCTTCACATTTGATGAGTCCAAAAATGCCAGAGCAGGTAATACACCACTCACTCACGGTGGAGGCAGAGTAACCAAAAACAGGGTCAGTAAGGCCATCTCTGGCTTGATTGAATCATATACATACACTCTGATAACACAGGAAGTTGCCAGGGCTCGAAATCATTGAGTATGCATCCTGAGCTTGTACATGGCCAGACATCTTTTGAAGTCAATGGGCCCACTCCTATTTCCCTGTATCCTTTTGCTATTTTCTCACTCTGCATCTCCAGGGCGGTTGTGTGTAACTTTGCTGTCCTTCTTCATCCCCCAGCCACCATCTTGTTTCTTTGCCAAATTTCCTCTCTTCTATTTACATCAAAGACACAGGTTTGTGCTTTTTATCACAGCTCAGACAGTTCTCTGATCAAAACAGCCTTACCTTTGGACTTCGGAGAATTGAAATAACCCTAAAGCACTTTACTCAACATCCCTGGGTCTTTTAAAAATGTATCTATCAATCAAACAACCGATTCAGCACCTACTCAAGGATTGTTGGGCACCAGACAACTGATGTTTTGCCATGGAAAATTATTTCAGAAAACTTAAAGAAAATGTGCGAAGTATTCCAGCTCTGTTCTGATCTCCAGACCAAACAGATTTCAACAAATTTTAATTGGTGCTCATTAACTTTACTGTCTTGGCCATATTTTAAATTAGAGTCAGAAGAAATACATGGGAGTTTTATAATCATTTTTAGTATGTTTTGGAACTGATAAAGGTACAGTTTTAATGTATTTATTCAATGTGAAGAACAAGAACAATTGTTTCTGTATTTAAAAAAAAATCCAAGCATATGTTAACACTTACTGATAACGGCTCTCTATATAGCTTTCTTTAAAAGAAAGCTTGCACATTGTAATCATACTATGTACTATGCTGCTATAAAACCATGGGGAAGGAGAAGGGGGGAGAGAACAGTAAACCAGCAAACCCATAGGCAATGACTGTGGGCTCTATTCCAGAGAAAGATGTGTGTAACCAGAAATAGGACAATTTTCTTTGGAGAAGTCTGTACCCAGAGTTGGGTATTCTTTGTATTCTATAACTTTCTCTTTGAGAAACCCACATCTATGCTGTTGGGTGTGTCTTACTTTTTCTGTAAGATATTAAAAGCATTATCTTAGCCCTCCAAGTGTCCGTCATCTAAAAAAGAAAGAAATGAGGTATCTTAGAGAAGGTGGGCTTGGGACTTGGGAACATGCTGATCTCCACTGCACCGCACTCTCAGCAGAAGCGGGACTTAAGTTCCCTTTCTAATTCTGGTATGAAAGTCCCATGTGCTGATTTTTAGAGCACTCACCTCTCTGATATGCGAGAGTCAAGAGACTTTCACTGTTTCTGGGCATGTAGTACACACCTGTAATCCTAGCACTAGGGAGGTTAAAGCAAGATCTCAAATCACAGCCTCTCAAACAAAATTAGCTGGACTTGGAGGGGATGAGTAATGAGAATATGAACGAGTCATTGCTTTTAAAAGTAAAAATAACAGTGATCTAGAGACAAGAAAGGGTCTAACACTGTACTTGCCGATAAAATTTATTTTCACAAAGTATTAGCATGTGCTCTCTAACAGAAAAAGCTAGATATGCCAGGGTTGGGTTAATCAGGAGGATGTAAAGACACATGTATTTATTCTCACCAATCCAGGGAAAGGAGACAGAACTAAGACCAAACAGATTGGAGGTATAGGTCAGTGGTTGAACACACATGTAGCATGCATGTGTGACGTCCTGGGTCTCTTCCCCAGTCTCAGCATGCACGCAGTGTACTTGAAACAATGAACAGGATCAATGGCATATACTAAAATACCCAGACAGTATTTAAGTTCAACTACATTACAAATTAAATGTGTCATAGTCTAGCCTGGACAGCTTACTAATACTTATTAAATTGGTTACAAAAAAAGCTTCAAATAATGACTCTCAAAATAAACGCCTGAAATACAACCTGTTCTATAGCTGAGGACTGTCTTATCAGCTCCATCAAATCTAATTTAGTCTAACTTCTCACCATGGTAACAAGCCCTTTGCGGGAATACTCAAAGACATTTCACATCTAGAAAATTTGCCTTGTACTACTTCACCACGCATAATGTCAAGAAAAGCTTGCTTCAAAGGTACTATGTAATTAGAATGGCCTTTAAAACAGGCACAAAGGAAATTGTTCTGATTAAATCAAGTCTACTTCACAACAATGGTGAGTGAGCAACATCACAGAAAGGAATGCTGGGCTGTTTGGGACTTCATATTCTAGTTTTGCATCTATTATCTGCAGTGTGGCTTCAGTTAGGGCTTGAAGTGCCTCTCATCTGCCTACTTCCTCTCTATTAAATGAAATTATCCATGTGAGAGGGTTGAGAGTTCTGTTGTGATTTTCCATGGGAAGACTATACCAGGCCTAAGCTAATACTGAGCCTGGAGAGGCAGCTGAGCTTAGTGAAAACCATAGACTAGTGAACACTTCTAGGTTATTGGCTGCATGGATGCTCATGATGCTGAGCACCAATCCTGTCTATGTGCTATGGGGTTTCTAAGAACGCTAGTTGGCAATCCACTGTGAAATTTAATATGAAGTCCAGCATCTGTAGAATCTCTCTACTGAATGGGGGCGGGGTACTAAGACAGTTTTGAGATGCCTGCTTTTTATTAGGAAGTCTTTTTTTTTGTCTTCAGTAACTTGCGTCAACAACACTATGAAGCATTCACCCAAAGAAAGAAAAGGAAAGCATTTAAATTAACCTCATCTATTTTTAACTCCCTTTGACCATATTTCCATAATGCCTAGTATACAGATGCCAGTGCAAGCTGCTTAACTTGCCGCTGGAAGCCTCCTTCAACCATACCAACCACCACATCTTGGGAGAGAACTGAAGACATCTGAGAATCGATCACACAGAACAGCTGTCACCTCTTACATGCAATTGAGATCACATACCATCAAACTTCTTGTAACGGGATGCAAAGATGGCTTGCAAATGATTGCACTGTTCACTGACCACACTTCTGAAATCGTCTTTACTTTGCAGGCTGTACTTCTCTTCCATCTCTTGAGAACAGCAGGTATAGCCCTGGGGACAGATCTTCAAATGGTCACCTGGAAGGTAAAAAGACAGTCTGTATCACCAGTAGCCCTCATATCCAAGAGACAAGGGCTTGATTTCAGATGCACATTCCTCTTCATTTTAGCCAGGGGGGATCTTTGGAGAAGCTCAAACATTGCACAGATCTGAAAGGTTTCACGGCACATGAAACTCTATTCTCGTGTGTCGGTTTTGTTGTTGCTTTGAAATAGAACTTCATTATTTAAAAAAAAAAAAAGCTTGCAGCCAGGTGTGCAACATATACCTTTAATCCCAGCACTTTGTGAGTTCGAGGCCAGGCTGGTCTACAAAGTGAGTTCCAGGACATCCAGGGCTACACAGAGAAACCTTGTCTTCAAAAAACAAAATCAAAACAAAAAAAGCTTGCAAATAAATAAAACATCGCACACCAAAATTAACCAGGCTTAACCTCTACACAACTTAATGAACTTATATACAGTTAAAATTGGCATTCAAAATGGAAGCTGTGATATGTCATATTAAAATTTTCATTTTAATATCTAATATATTTAATCCACTTATCAACCACATTAAAATAAACTAAAATAATAAAGCTAACACCACCACCACCACCACCCCCCCAAAAAAAACAAAAACAGAAGAATTTTGTAATTAAGAAGATGGTTTAACCACAGAAGTCAGTGTGGGGCAATAAGAACAGCATCGATTGGTAGGAACACAAACTTCTCTCATAAATTCCTTATGATTCTGTGTGACACACTCTGTGTAAGTCATGGAAATGAGAGATTTATTTTTTAAAGATTTGGGAGTTTATATTGAGAGAGAGAGAGAGAGAGAGAGAGAGAGAGAGAGAGAGAGAGAGAGAGATTGCTTTATAAAGTATGATAACAACCCAAAACTCAGTAAATAATAACTCCATGTTATAGTGTAGGAAAGCAACATATAAATTTATAAGCATGAATTCTACTGAGGAAAAGCAAAGAGACCCACACATTTCAAGGGGTTGGCAGCACAAAGGAAAACTATGGGGGTTCAGACTGGATCATCTGAACCTATGCTCAATCATAAAGAAGTGATCCCAGGCAATCCTCTATGTTAAGACTTTATTTTGCCACCTAACTATACCCACGTTCTGTGTGATGTAGTTACTTAGTTCTCATATTCCCAGAGACCAATGCTTTCCGATAAATGTGATCTTTATGTAGTGAGTTAAGAAAACTGTCAGACGGCTGGCTCATTGCGTAGCAACCTAGCCCACAAAGTATCTAAGCTCTTAGAACTACAACCTGTCCAGAGTTCAGAGGTAAGAGTGTAGATGGGTTCTTCTATGACTCCTCCTCTTCGTTCTTCCTCAGTCACAGAACGAAAACTGTTGATTTGAAGAGAACAATGCCTCGTCCCTCACAATGACCAAAGAGGTACAGTGAAGCTCAAAATTAAACCACACCAGGTACTATGATGACTTGAGTCACTCCAATATTTACTGGTTTGCTAAAACTGTATACACATTCACCAATATTTGCTTCCAATGCTCTGCTACTAGTGTCCATGTATATAAAACAAAGCACGATCTGAAAAGAATCAAGATCTCAGGAATCTGGGCCCAATGCTAAAGCATGTACCTATTGTCCCAGCTACTAGAGGGGTAACATGGTGAGACCTCATCTCAAAATGCAATCTCAAGAATGAGTCCGCTGGAGACATGGGAACTTGACAATGGTGTGTTTGAAAAGAGGGCCATGGGATGACAAACATATCTTCCTACTGCTTAGCTTAGCCAGCCTGGTCTCCAGAGCTTTCTCAACTCCTTACAAATATTCCATTGTGCATATATCAAATCTTCAAGGCAAAAAAAAATCTCAGGGGTTTGGAAAAAACATCCATATCTATCCAATCTAAGACAGGGTCACTGTGTAGCTCTGGATGATCTGGTTGTCATCATGTTATATAGACCATTCTGGCCTCAAACTCACAGAAATCCACTTATCTCTGCCTCCCAAGTTTTGGGATTAAAGGCACTTTTCGTGTCCAGTTGTCTATACCATCTTTACAGGTTGACACAAGTAAAATGAATAATCTATTGATTTACTGAGTGCTATATAAACAGACCAAAATAAAAGACCCTTTTTTTCAATGGTGTGCATGTGTCTAAGGGTTTAAGTGGGAGAGACTTGGTAGGACCTTTACTCACCAGGCCATCTTACAGACCCTTAGGTGGCTTATAAAATTGAGTTATTTATTCTTTTTGAACTTGTTAATGTGTGTAAGTTGTTGGCCTACACATATGCCTATGTACCATGTGTGTGACAGGGGCCTGCAGAGGAGAAAAAGGCATTAGATCCCATAGAACTGGAGTTGCTGACAGTTGTGAGCTGCCATGTAGGGGTTAGGCACTGAACACCAGGTCGTCTGGAAGAGCATCATCGTTGGTGACACAGCGAGTTAGAGGCCAGCTTGGGCTGTATGAGACCCCTTTCAACCCCTTCCCCCCAAAGAGCAACCAAACAGATGATCTTCGTTTCCTTTTGTGAAGAACTCTCTTCCTAACTCTGAAGCAGTCAGTTTCTCTGGGCTTGGCCAGTGAAGACTCCCTGCCTACCATTTACAGTTAAGAAATGTATCCAGTTTGTTCTTCTCAATGTGCCCCTCACTGTATCCCTTCCCCTAATCAGACACTGTTTTAGCCCCTACACTTGAGGATTTTGTAGCCAGGGATTTGGCTCTGTGGTAGAGTGTTTACCTGGTATGTGTAAGGCTCTGAGAACAATCCCCTAGAGAATGAATTCTGACTAATTCTTCTTTAATCAGCAAAATGCCTTATCTTGAAGGCAGAGAATGTATATTGCTTGAATTGTAGTCTGACTACATGTTTGCTCTATCCAATGAGAAATGCCTTTTCTTTTTGGAGAACTCCTTTTAAAACCTGGTCATCTTATACATCTCTCAGTTAAGAACGGTGTCACACTCCTTTAGGCTACTAGAGCTGAGCACAGGGACAACAGAACTGATTTGGGACAGGTAGCAGTCAATGTGAGATAGCACTGGATAGAAACAACATAGACAAAGATCCCAGGCAATTCTCCTACATACCTTGCAGAAAGAATCACTGGGGACTGGAGAAATGGCTCATTGGTTAGGAGCTCTTGCTGTTCCTGCAGAAGACCAAATTCCAGTTCCCAGCACCCACATGGTGATTCACAACTGCCTGTAACTCCAGTTCCAAGGTATCTGACACCTTCTTCTGACCTCCACAGGTACTAAGGCATGTACATGGCACACATTCATACATGCAGGCAAAACACTAATATATATATAAATGGAAATAAATCTAATATTACAGTTTCTAAAAGAATCATCATTGGATACATATTCCCAAAACAACTATGAGGAAGCTTACTAAGGCATCTTTTTGCTCCCCCTAGCCCCACCCCCACCCCCAAAAAGGAGGAATGATAGATGGACAGGCTTCTGAATTCAGGCAGTTCTCCAACAACAAACAGGAGGTAGGATCTCCAGCTGTCATTTGTCCCACAGGCTCCCATTTCTCCAACTGAATCTCCTGCTTCCCCAATTCCAGATGCATATACATCTGTACATACATCACTTTACTATGCTGTCTGCTTTCCACCTGCCTTCACGCTGCCAATTGTTCTTTCTTCAGCACACCCCACTTATTTAACGGCATGTTTTAGGAAACAGAGCGGCTGATTTTTTATTTGGAGCACTTGTTCCGAGTTCTTTGTTCTTCATTTAAAAAAACAGGTGAACTGAATACTTTATGATTTTCTAAGGAAGCACCTAAATTAAGCTGCTTTTTGTACATGGCTCTTGATTACTTTTTTTTCTTTTGTGGGCCAGTGGCCCTCAATAGAGGGGGGAAAAAAAGTCCCCCAGCCCTGTCCTAGGAGGCTTGAATGAGATTCAATGAACCATGCTTTTAAAGCTTAACTCTATAGCATTTAAAAAACAAATCACTCAAAAGAACCAAACTTGTTCAATCATACCAGCTCTATGTAATTCCTCTTTGGTCTTAATATCAATGCAGTAGTTTTCAAAGACAATCACAATAAGTTACTATGAAATTTTGCCGAGTGTTTACTGGTCTTTTTTTTTTTTCAGTTGAAATTGGCGATTTAAAAAGAAGGCATTGAACATTAGCAACCTCTCCCAGCCTGTAGCAGCACTCTGGGGACAACTGTCTGTAGAAGTATGTTTTCTTGCTTATCTGTCATCTACTTCTCTTACCAAAGACTGGCTCTGATGCACAAATGGGTGCAGCTAATGCTCAATTATTCTCAGATGCTCATAACTCAACTTCTCACAGAACATGTTGCAAATGGTAGTTGGGTTCTTAAATGGAGGAAAATCCAGACTGGCCCACACCGTGTGATTGCGAAGGCACAAATTCTCTATACGTAGGCAAAGTGCTTGCCCAAACACACTTGGGAAAGAAGAGACACTAACTGAATGCTAAGGGAAAGGAATGTGTGAGGGGTCCATTGAGAAGAACGTTGTAAACATTGTTAATTGTAAATGTTAAGAGGCAATAAGTTTGCAGTGGTTTCTCAAAGAAACATTGACTGTTTCACATGAGATATGAAGAGGGTTCTTCACGAAAGAAATGAAAAATACCTGTTTTGTTGCTGTTGGGGTGGGGTGTTGAAAGGGCTCTTATACAGCCCAAGTGGGCCTCTACTTCACTGTGACACCAAGGATGACCTTGACCTTCTGATCCTTGTGTTTCCACCTCTCAAGTACTAAGATTACAGACATGTATCAACAAAGCCCAATCAGCCAAAGATCTAGACAGTCATATTTTTGACAGCTTGTACTAGGTGAAAAGTCATATTTTTGACAGGAGGTGGACATGTGGAGGAAAAACCATACCCAGTAGTTGAATAGTGTGTATACATGATTGGAAAGACGGCAATCAAATACAATCATTTAAAAGCCATCAAAAGAAAAGCCAAGACAGGGCACCAGCCTAGGTGTCCATTCACAGATAAATGGATGAAGAAAGTATGATTAATAG